TCACTTTCTCCCCCCACCCCAATTCGCTCCACTGTGCAGCTTTCATTCTGGACTCTTGTCATGCCAATAATACCTAATCATATATCCCTTTTAAACAGTTCTCTCCTTCATCTGTTTCAATGCAGTATGTATTTTTTATCACATCTTTCTCAGTCTCCCCCCAACCCAGCTGTCAGTCCCATTTTACAACAGTGACATTATGTACTATTTGTCCTTTAGTGATTGAGATGTTTCACTCAGCATAATGGCTTCCAAGGTCACCCATCTTGTATATTTCAAGAGTTCTTTGCTTTTCAGTCTACATAGTATTCCAGAGCTTCTCTATCCATTCATTTGTTGATGGGCACTTGGACTGTTTTCAACTCTTTTCTATTGTAAACAAAGCTGCAATTAACATGTGTGTGCATATATCTGCTTGGGAGGCTGTTCTGGTTTCTTTAGGGTATATTCCCAGTAGTGGAATTACTGGGTCCAAGGATATTTCTATTTCCCACTTTTTGGAAAGCCATACTCCCTTACTTAGTGGTTGCACCATTTTACACTCCTACCAACAGTGAATAAAGGTTGTGGTTTCTCCACAACTTCTCCAGCATTTGTTGTTTGCTGTTCTTTTAAACTTTGCTATTCTTACTGGGGTGAGATGATATCTCATAGTTGTTTTGATTTGAATCTCTCTTAAAGCTAGGGACTTTGAACATTTCTTCATGTGTTTGTATGCCATCTGAATTTCTTCTTTGGTGAAGGGTCTGTTCATCTCCTGTGCCCATTTTTCAACTGGGTTGTTTACCTTTATCTTGTTGTGATGCTCGAGCATTTTATAAATTCTAGATATAAGTCCCTTATCTGACACATCATTATCAAATATTTCCCCCCCACTCTTTGGCCTCCCTTTTTACCCTGTCGGAGAAGTTTTGGGCTCTGCATAGGGATTTGATTCTTAGAAGGTCTCATTCATCTATTTTATCCTCTCCTGGTTGTAGGTTTTTCAGGATGCTTGGAAGACTGTTTATGTTGTGGATTAGGCAAGTCCATGTTTTCTGACAACTTATCCTTCTTCCCTGCTCCCAAGTTTTGAATTTCAGTCACTTACCATTACTAATGAATCCTCGTTGCATGCTCAACCCATTTCCAACTGTAAAAGTTGTTAAAAATAATCTGTTTCCTCCTGTGTGGCTCTGGTTGGTGCCTATGTTTGAGTGATAGAAAATCAAAAGATAAATTGCACTTTGCTACCCACAGCAAGGTCCATGTGGCAGCATTGTCCTGGTTCCCACTGTAACCTTAAAGGGAAAACGTCCACAGTGTCTGCCCTTGGTGTCCTGCAGATGAAGGAGAGGGTGTCCTCAAATTGTTTGCAGCAGGAATACATTTGGGCAGCACTAACCTTGACTTACAAATGAAGTAGTGCATCTACAAAAGGAAAAGTGATAGCATCTACATCATAACACTGAAGAGGACCTAGCATAAGCATCTCTTCACTGCTTGAGCCATTGTTGCAATTGAAAATCCAACTGATGTCAGTGTCATATCCTCCAGAAATACTGGCCAGAGAGCTGTGCTGAAGTTTGCTGCCACTGTAACTATTCCTATTGTCTGGCACTTCACTCCTGGAACCTTCACTAACCAGATGCAGGCAGCCTTCCAGGAGTCTCCTCTTCTAGTTATTACTGATCCCAAGGCTGACCACCAGTCTCTGACAGAAAGGTCTTACATTAATTTGTCCACCATTGCCCTGTGTAACCCAGATTCTCCTCTGTGCTACAGAAACATTGCTACCCTACGCAACAAGGGAGCTCACAGTGTACGTCTGATGTGGTGGATGCTAGCCCAGGAAGTCCTGTGTTTATGTGGCACATTCTACTGGGAACACCCATGGGAGGTCATGCCTAATCTGTACTTCTTCAGAGATCCATAAGAGATTGCAAAGGAAGATCAGGCTGCTTCTAAAAAGGCTGTGACCAAGGAGGAATTTCAGGGAAAATAGATGGCCTCTGCTCCTGAATTTACTGCTACCCACCCTGAGGTTGCAGACTGGTCCAAAGGCATGCAGGTGCCCTCTGTGCCTATTCAGCCGATCCCTACTGAAGACTGGAGCCCTCAACCTATATCTGAAGACTGGCCTGCAGCCTTCACTGCTCAGGCTACTAACTGTGTCTGTAACAACCACCGACTGGTCTTAAGCTGTCTTTTTAGTCTTTTAAAAAGTGGAAATAAAGTTAAGAGAAAATAAACAATACATTTTGTAAGAAAAATAAGACTAATTGCATTAGAAAAATTTGCTGTTAGGTACCTCTCTGGAGTGATGAAAAGCAACAGTGTCTAGTTTAGAGACTAAGCTGTGCTTAATCCAAGCCATGATCTTCTCAATTATTTGCTATGCATCAGAGACCTGGACAATGACTAAGAATAAGAGAAAAAGATTGATGCCTTTGAGTTGTGGTGCTGGAGAAGAGTATTGACCATAACACAGACTGCCAAAAGAACGAACAAGTCTGTCTTGGAAAGGGTGAAACCAATTTGCTCACTAGAGAAAAGGATTTTGAAGCTATATTTCACATACTTTGGGCATGTTGCCAGGAGGGACCATTCCTTGGAGGACATCATGCTTAGAAGGATAGAGAAAAAGATCCTGGATGAGATGGATGACACAGTAACTGAGTTTATGGGGCTAGGCGTTTTGGAGACAGTGAGATTGGCTCGGAATAGGGCAGGGTTCAGAGGAAATGTGCACAGGGTCACTATTAAGTTACAGGCTTATAGATTTGATGGCTCATAACAGCAACAACAACAGCAAAACTAATAACACTACTTGCTGTTCATAAAAAATGACTCTTTTAAGGGTCACTAAAATTTCTGTACACTGTGCTTCTTCTATAGCTCAGATGATATCCCTAGTCTCTCTCACTGGTTTAATTCTTAGGCCAGGTGAGGAAGACCAAACCCAGAACATCAATCCCATAGCAACGCTCTCAAACATGTAGACATATAAATACTGAGGTGTGTACACACACACGCGCGCGCGCGCGCGCGCACACACACACACACACACACACACACACACACACACACACACTTCAAGAGAAAGAAGGAAGAAGTGACTCTGGAGGTAGAATGGATTTCTGAGATCACACACTGAACTTTCCCATGATTTGGAAAGGGATTGTCAGATTTTCCATAAACAGAAGACAGTACATATCTCAGGCTTTATGGCTGAGATCTTTATAGTCTATATTACTTCTATTCAGTCTTGTCCACATAGCATCAAATTAGAGAAAGCTGGTATATTAACAAATGAGCATGAATGCATGCCAAGAAAATTTTATTTATGAACAGTAAAAATAAATTTTTCATTAGTCATGGAATATATTTTCCATTATATTTTTCCAACCAGTTAAAAATGCAGAAGAGTTAATTCTTTTCTTACAGAGTCCCTGAAATCAGAAGCAGACCAAATTTTGTCCAGCTTTTAGAGTTTATAGGCTTTAATTATTCAATGTTCAATTTAGAGTATTTAAAGTATAAACAATCTCAACTTTGTCATACTTTCACAAACATTCCATCTCATCTGGGGTCTTCCTCTCCTGTGCTGTCCCTACACCCTCCCAAGCATGATGTTTTTCTCCAAGGACTGGTCTTTCCTGACCATGTGCCCAAAATATGTGAGACAGAGCTAGTTAAAATTGTGTCTTCTAGGCTGCAACAGTTTCGTGATACATCTTCAAGGATATGAACATGTATGGCTAAGCACAATTGATAACAGTGCATCTAAATTCCAAAATCAATCTCCACAATAGTCTACGTGTTTCCTATTGCCAAAGGGTCCCTTTAGAGTAGTGAGAGAAGATCTTCATCCTGAAACCTCCAGCGTCCCTTCTCAGCAGGAAGTGCTAAGAGAATACGCCATCCCCTTTTCCTTATGAATCAGGTGAAGTCTCTCTCAGGGAGGAGTAATAGGGAATGGTAAAGGACACACTGACCAAGGAGATTAATCAGAACTGGTTTTGACAAGTACTGTGGCAATGGGACAATTAAAACAGACTTCCAAGGGGGAGGGAAGAGGAACCAACTGGGGGAGGGTAGAGAAAATAGTGCAACAATGAATGAATCGAAATCCAAAATCTCGTAAATGTTCATTAAAATTTATAAAATTTAATTAAAAAAAGAAAACAATTCTAGCTCCAAGGAGAAACTTGGTTTCACCTTCTCCAAGACAGACATATTTGTTTTCTTGTCAATACAAAATATTTCGAAGACTCTTCTCCAGCACCACAACTTGACAGCATCAATTCTTCTGTCATCCTTAGTTATTGTCCAGCTCTCTGAAGCATAATAAATAACTGCAAAGACCATAGTCTGGATTAGGTGCACCTTAGTCTTAATTAGACTTACTTTGTTGTTTTTCAGCACTCTAAAGAGGTCCCTGACAGCATATTTTCCCAGTGCAATTTGTCTTTTGATTTCCTGACTGCTGATGTTAAAAGTGTTGATTGTGGAGCTAAGCAAGCTATAATTGTTAATAATCTCAATCTCTTCTCCATATATCATGATGCTGTAGTTGTCCCAGTGGTGAGAATTTTTTTCTTTTTGATGTTGAGCTTCAAATAATATTGAAAACTAGTCTTTGACCTTCTACAGCAAGCACTTCAGGTCTTCTTCAGTTTCAGCAAGGAAAGTTGTGTCATCTGCATAATGTAGGTTGTTGATATATCTCTATCTATCTACCATTTTCTAGTGGTAAGGAGTTGCATTGGCTGGCAATTCAATGATACATAATTCAAATGCATCAGCTGCTCCATGCAAGAAAGATGGGCAGTCTTCTCCTATGTGGTTAACTGTCTCTGAAAACCCATTGGAGAGTCAGATACACACACACACACACACAAAGAGATAGAGATAGAGAGAGAGATGTCTGTGTACACACACACACACACATACACATATATATACCTGCATGCTCAAGTTTAACCTTTTGATTCCAAAGCAGATGAGTGATATATTACCTTTCTGTAGATGCCAAAGATTGTTCCAATGGAAACAAGACAATCAATGTTGGAAGAACCATCAAGAGGATCAAAGCACACTACATATTTACCCTGGAGCAAAGAAAAAAGATTTGACTTTACTGTAAAAGCAAGCACATTATAACCAGATAGAAGCCATATACCAAGGGGCAACCATGGGAATCTAGGGGGAAAGATAAGAAATATGTGCCCCATTTATTGATACTCTGCCATGAAAACTATGAGATATCAAGGAGGAGGGAGGCATACAAGTATATAATCTTTTGGAAGGGAGTCAGTAAAATCAATAAAGATTCAGGACCAGGGATGAGCCAATTGGAGAACTGGCAACACATGGCTAATGGCGCTCAGGTGGGCAGGACACATAAGAAATTTGAGGTAGAATCTGAGAAATGATCATATGGTTCAGGAGATATCTAGGGTGATTCCTGGGAATTCAGTCTGGAGAAAAGAAGAGTTATGTACAGCTATAAGAAGAGAAATAATAACAACAGAAATACAGACCCACCCTTTTCTCAGGTTCAACTATGATGGCATTTTTATCTTCTTCTGACACAAGAACACAAGTGGCAAAAGAGGACTTTAGCATGTTAATAACCAGGTCATTGGAGAGAACATCCAGTTTCTTAACTTGATCACCAGTCACATTTGTAGAACCAGCAATTCCATAGCTAGAAAGAAGGAAACCACAAAAATATCAGTCCCCTCAACCTACAACACCTAAATTAAGTTAGTAGGACTTAGGAGAAATAAAGACAACACATAATTTGGAAGACACAACATATAAAAAGTTTAGTAGGATTTATTTCAAGTGTTATTGAGCATGACTTAATAGCAGCCTTATGAACAATAGATCTGAACCCTGTCCTATCTGGAGCCATCCTTATCACTGTGTCAATTCATCTCATTGAGGATCTTCCTCTTTCTCTGACCCTCCACCTTTCCAAGCATATTGTCCTTTTCCAAGGAATAGCCTCTCCAAAAAACATAACTAAAGTATGTGAGATGAAGCTTTTCCATCCTTGCCTCTAAAAAGCACTCTGGCTACACTTTTTCTGAGACGTACCTGTTTGTTCACTGGGTATTCAGTGTTCTTCTCCAACAAAACAGCTCAAAAGCATAAATTCTTACTCTATCATCCTTTTCCATTACCAGGATTTAGGAGAAAGTAGAGATGACACATATTTGGAAGATACAAAACACAAAGGATAGCTGATTTTTTGATAGCTTTTCTCTGCCTCCCGAAGACAAGAAATAATGTTATTCATCTTTTGACCTGGCATCTAGAATACTTTTTTGGTTAAATCAAAGCATTTTTGTGACTTAATCATTGGTGTTGACTTCTTGTTTTATTTTTTATGGTATCTCATACTTTGAAAATGTTATTAGGAGGTGCCATTCTATGGGAAAAGAACATCAAATTTGGAAAAGTAAAGGGTCAGAAAAGGAGAATAAGACCCTCAACCAGATAGAATAGAATAGTAACTGAAACAATGGGCTCAAGCCTGGTGGAGATTGTGAGGCTGGCACAAGATTTGGCTGTACACTGTCTGTTGTACACAAAGTCACTATGAGTCAGAGCAAACTTGATGGCACCTAACAACAACCACAAAGTCCTTTAGAAGCTCTTAGGTGATACAATTGACAGCAACATGTTAGATGGAGAAGATACTGAGATTTTTAACAATTTCAGCTTGCTCAGCTCCATATTCAACACGCTTGGCACCAGCAGTCAGGACATTAAAAGACAAATTGCATTGGGGAAGTCTGCTGTTAGATACCTTCCCAGAGTGCTGAGGAGTGCTCCGTCTAGAGACCAAGGTATACCCGATCCAGGCCATGGTCTTCACAATTACTTGCTATACATCAGAGAGCTATACAATGACTAAGGATGAGAGAAAAATAATTGATACCTCTGAGTCGTGGTACTAGAGAAGAGAATTGAACATACCATGGACCACCAAGAAAACAAATAGGTCTGTCTTGGAGGGGGTTAAACTTTGGAGGTAAACATTTTGAAGCTCTGTCTCACATACTTTGGGAACATGCCCAGGAGGGACCAATCCTTGGAGAAGGATATCATGCTTGGAAGGATGGAGGGACAGTGCAGGAGAGAGGAAGACCTGAGATGAGATAGATTGATATGGTAACTGTCAGAGTCAGTGAGACTGGCTCAGGATAGGCAGGGTTCAGAGCTATTACACATAGGACCCACATTATGAGTTCTGGTTGACTCAATGGCTCATAACAACAACAACAGTTGGCACAAACAGTTATGTGCTTGGCTACTAACAGTTCAAATACACCAGAGGTTCCTTGGAAGTCCCAGCACTCTACTTCTGAAAGACTGCAGTCTTGGAAACATTATGGAGCTTAATTTTACTCTATAGCACATGAGGTTGCCAGAAGATAGAATCTACTCAATGGTAACTAGTCTTTTTAGTCTGGTTTTAAACAGTCATTTCGGAATTTTGTTCATCCACATGAAATTTTAGCACATGTTGGAATCTGTTTCTGTCCTAGATGTGTGCTTTGTGTGGCAGTCTGCAGGGAGTTTGGCTGCTAAGCCAAAGGCAGCATCTCTCTGGAGGTTTGATTCCACCCCAGCAGCTCCATAGGAGGAAGATGAGTCATCTCCCCCCCCCCCTGTAATAGACAGCCTCCAAAAACTCCCTGGATGTCAGCTCTGAGTTGGTTACAATTTAATGGCAATAAGTTGAAATTGAGTTGATTTTTTTATTTGTGCTTTATACATAAATTTTTTTTTTCATTTCCCTCCCTTAAATGCATGGACTAAATGAGTCAATTAAGAGACATAGGAAACAAGAACATCTTCTTGACTGAGCCCAATGATATAAGTTAAACAAAACAGCTTTTCAGAGTAAAAGATTCTAGTGTGCCTGCCATTGGTCCCACCTCCTCTTTTCCTTAAGGAAGAATACAGATGAAGTTTTGCTAGCATAACTGTGTAAGCTCACTCTGATTTCTTAGATGGATTCTTTTTCTGATGTCCTGTTGCTCTTATCAAGAATCCTTGAAAACAGAGAAAGTGAGTCACTGCAGTTTTTACTAATTTTCCAGGACTTTCAAGGCGTTAATTGTAGAACTCCCAGAATGAATCAAAATGCAACCTGATTTGTTGAATAAGGAAAGGGATAGGTTACTGCCTTCAATTCAATTTCATGTACAAGCACAGAAAAAAGAAGAAGTGTTTTAGAGGAATGAATTACAGAACTTAGTAAGTAACTAGAAGAGGGAAGGAAGAAAGAAAGGAGAAGCAACTGAAAGAAGGTGGTGAGGGTCCTAGGCTAGGACAGCTGAGAGAGCTCACCTGTGAACATACTACCTAAATTGAAAATTAATTTTCTCTAAACATAAACAGTGTATCTGTTGCTGCTCAAAACTGAGCAGACCAAGGGCTTCATCCAGCCTGACACTCTGTGAAGCAGTTGCAGCTTCTGAATAACTTTTTTTTTTTCAGTCTGGGTCAGTCTCTGCACAATTTCCTTTATTGTGTGGAAGACAGCTCTTTCGTACCTCTCTTCTCTTTATTATGTCACTCCTATTTTAAGAAAAGACAGGCCATGTCTCTGAGTTTTTAATTCTCTTTGCATAGCATCTCTTTCTGACCTCAACTGGAGGTCAATGTTAGAAGGTAGTCAAAGTTAGAAGGTAGTCCATAGTGGAACTAGTGGGTTTTGTCAAGGCCCACTACTTCAAAAGTACTCCCTCGGTGGACCACTGACACCCTTCTTAGCTTAAGATTAGTGTTCACAGAAAAGAACAGAGACTCTGAGAAAAAGTCACTTCAGATCTTAGCTGGGCAAGTCCCTTATCCCTTTTAAGACTATTTTTTTTTTCAAGTGCCCCTGAAGATTATGTGACATAGCTCAAGAGGCTGTTGGAAGATTATACAAGGTAAAGTATATAAAGAGTTCTGAGTGGTTTTAAACAATTGGCTGCTAATAGAAAGGTTAGTGGTTCTAGTCTACCCACAGGTAACTCAGAGGGTCTGGCAACCTATTCTGAAAAATCAATTGTAGTCAATTCTATGGAGGCCAGATCAACACCAGCATACAATTTGCCATGAGGTTGGGATTGACTTATCTAGTGTTAGTTTACAAGCCATATTAACATGTGAAACAGTTGCCTAGCAATCTGGGAACCCCAGAACTCAAGTCAGGATATTTCCATCCTGCTCATAGGCATGTGCTATCAGTTGGCCTTTTTATAGTTAGAACATTAAGATATGCTTTTTTAAATGGGCAATCTCCTACTTTGCAATTTACAGCTTCAGAAGCGCACTAAAGGGCCAATTACGAGTTTCAACTCCACAGCAATGCGATTTCAATAGAGTATTACAGAAAACCGAGGGTTGCCACATATACAAGTCAAAGTTAACATTTTCTTGAGATAGAAAGGAGAAAAATATTGGTAAAATACTACTGAGTTTATGTATATGTGTGTATAAAAGTTCTAGTGGTCTAGTTGTAAAGAGTTGTGCTGTCAACTCAAAGGCTCGTGGTTCAAATTCATCAGCTGCTTCAAAGGATAAAGAGGAAATCTCTCCTTCTATGCAATTTGTTGTTGTTGTTGTTGTTGTTATGTGCCGTCGAGTCGCCTGCGACTCATAGTGGCCCTATGTACAACAGACCTAAAGTCCGCTCTGCCCTGTGCCAATCGCACTGTCTCTGACACTCCCAACCCAATTATCCCAGTCACTGAATCAATCCACCTCATAGAGGGCCTTCCTCTCCTGCGCTGTCCCTCCACCCTCCCAAGCATGATGTCCCTCTCCAAGGACCGGTCTCTCCTCACAACATGTCCAAAGTATGTTAGACAGAGCCTCAGAATCCTTGCCTCCAAGGAGCCACCTGGTTTAACCCTTTCCTAGCAGTCCATGGTATTCTCAATACTCTTCTCCAGCACCACAGCTCAAAGGCATCAATTCTCCTTCTATCCTCCTTGGTCAACCTGCTGAAAGGTCAGCTATGAATCAGTTCTGATTTAAATACATATTATAGTATTGGATTTTTATTTTATAGTTATAATAAATAACTAATATTAATAGATAATTTAGCTATAAAGTAGCAAATCTGGAAATCAAATATATATTGTTTTATTCCAAAGTCCATACTTTTTCCTACTAGTAGAAATAAATAATGATTCATACTATGGCTTTTAGCCAATGTGGAAAATAAGTTGGAAAATCATTGAACCACATAGCTGCAAACTCATGTAAATCATGTTTCAGTTAGAAAAAAGTAGAATATATAATTCTAGAATAGTGAGAATCTTGCTTTCACAGAAATGTCAAATGCCCTATTTTAGAGAGAGGGCTGAGCCGCATATTAAGCCAACAGTCTTCTCAAAGTCATCCAAACAAACAGTACTGAAACTAGAGTCAGTTATTATGTGTGTGAATACTCATTCTAGATTTTATCTTGATTTCAGGTTATACTTGTGGAGTCTTGGGTTCAGACTTGGCCTTTACGTCTTTCTGACTGTATGACACCCAACACAAAGTCTGGCCTCTTGACAGACCATTTAGTGAGTGAGGCACAGATGGCACACAGTGGTTTCCTTCCTCAGATAGCAACCATCCTGGTGTTCATGAGTGTCCGCTCGAGCAGTGTTGATGGAGGAACTCTAAACCAGTCCAGCAGGTAAC